GTAATATAGATTTAGTCTGGCAAGATTCTGTCTATACGGTGTAAGCTAATAAAGGAACTTTACTCAACTGGGCTGTTTCACTGTTGTTCTTGAGCTGGGCCTGACAAATATATTAAATATTTTTTTCTTTTTTCTGTTATATTTTTTCACTTTTTAAATCACTTTTTATGCAGTTTTTTTCTTCTCCGCAAATGTATTTATTCACGTTATAATTATCTTAGTGTTTTTTTCTTTTTCTCTTATTTTAAAAGCAATAAAAAATAAACAGTAATTCCAAAATTATATGCAACAGAAAGATTTCCTCCATTTTTACATCAGTAATTAAATTTCCTAATTGTTTACTTTACATGACTGTTACCTACTTGAAACAGAAATGAATACCTGAACAGAATGATTGTGCATCACCTTGAATACTTGATTTACTGAAGTGATCTCAATGTTCAGTCACTAACTTCTATGGACAACAGCGTAGTATCATATAAAATGTCTTCATCTTACTATGAAGCTATTTTACTTAGACCAAGCTAAATATTTGAAGCTTAAATTAGATGAACTTAAATCATCCTAGTTTTTCTGAAAATGAGTATCTTCATATAACATCACAGCATGTAAAGGAAGACATTAAGTATAAACATTAAGTTTGCAGATATGGAAATACAGGTCCCAAGTCATTAAAAATGTTTTATATGCAGCATGACAATCAAGACCATGAAGCTTGACAATGTCTTCTACATTCCACTCCAGACTGCAACAGGGGACCTGAGTGTTACTCCCTATCACACCACTTTCTATACATTTAACAACCAAAAGTGATGTAAATCAAACTGTGTTCAACTCTCAACTGCCCTTAAAACTTCCAAAAAAACCCAGAAAATCTACACTATTGTGATCTGACACATTGAAGCTGTAAATATCCAACAACACGTTTTACCTGTAGCAGAAACAGCTGAAGAGGACAACCATAGCGATTATGCAGACTGCCATGGAAATAAGCACAGCTATCCAACGTATGCTGCCATCAAACAGATCATCTAAATAAAAAACACATTAACATAATCACAATTAAATGCAGAACACTCTCACAGAAATATCGGGCAAGACTTAGACAAATCCTTTTGGAATTTACCTTAAGTAATGCAATTTTGCAATAGCTGTATGTCCAAACTGCATGCGGAAGGCCAGCACGTACGGTTCTGTTATTCAACTGGTGTCTGACTCCCCAGATATCATAATTACCGAGGTAAAGATGGAAGACAGACCTCTGGCTTGGAAGGGTCTGAAACAGGGCAGTCTGCCTAGCACCCGATTTGATGCCCATGCAATCAATATTTTATTTCCCCAAAGTTTTATATTATATTTTACTCTGCTCAGAAGTAATTGATGCTCCCCATTGCTAAGTCTTCTATTGTTTGGGTTCAGTTACTGGAGTCGTAGACCAAGGTTGAAAAATTGGTAAGTGAAATCTTCATGTGAACGCCCACAGCCCTGTGGACCCCACCCACTCAATAGCCACAAGCACTGTACCTTTTGGACTAGGGGGTAGAGTGGGCTGCAGATCTTGATTGCAGAAATCTGTCCGACAACATTCAATCGTACGGCGCCGCTGTACAACTCGCGAATCCTACAGAATAAATTGTACACTGAAGCAGCCCAGAAGCTCATACATATATAAGTACATACATCAGTCAGTCATATGTGTTTTCACAACGTACAGATGTTCTAGAATCCACAGCAAAGTGAGAGGCTAATTCTGAACTGGAAATCAGGCACTTATGCATATTTTTGCTTTCAAAACAATCTTTAGAATAGAGAAATGAGAACTGCAGCAAAAGATGTGATGTGAAGTGCTCCTGGTCAGAGTTCCAAGTAGCCATAACCTTCTCCTAGGATGCCTCATTCTATTTTAGACTCTTTATTTTCCATTTATTTCTCCATATTTGGCATTCTCTACTCACTTGACATACACAATCCTCTCTGGGACATTTTCAGAGCTGCCCATTTGCTCCTGTCTGCCTGTACTTGTACACAATAAAGTAGTTTCCACTGAGTTAAGCTAAACCCCTGATGACCTCATGCAAATATCACTACAGTCATCTTGGCCACAACATGGAAGTGGCTTGTCATCACCTTGTTTTGGATTTTTTTTCCAGCTTCTCAGACTCTACAGTTCTGGTATTCCCCCATGTATTCTGGTGGTCTCTCACACTAATACAGGTAGTCCTCACTTGCCGACCACAACTGAAACCAGCAACTGCTAAGTGATGCAGTCGATAAGCGAAACGTTACGTGACCATGGCAGACTTACGATGTCAGTTCCGCTGCGGTTGTTAAGCGAATCACTGCGGGGTCATCAAGTGCGACATCATGTGAATGCGACTTGCTACTTCCTGCCAACTTCCCCACTGTCTTTGCTTGTCAGAAGCTGGCTATGAAGGTCACAAATGATGATCACGTGACCATGGGACACTTGGGATGGCCACAAGTTCAAGGACCGGTCCTAAATGTACTTTTTTAGTGCCATTGTAACTTTGAACAGTTGCTGAATGAGGTAGTCAGTAAGTGAGGACTACTGCACTGTTACAGCTTTATATTTGACAAAATTGCAGCTTATAGCCCAAATTTTACCAAACTCAGTCAATGAAAGCTAGGTCATTAAAGATGAGCAAAGAAACTGGAGCAGAGGAGAGAAAAATGTGTTTCTCCCAAATTAAAACAAAATAATCTTATGACATCCCTCATTCTAAATTAAAGCTTAATTTGGAAAAATATTTTTGATAATGTTACAAACCTTTTAAGCTATTTGGAATAACCAATATGCTGCCCTTGGCCTATAGCAAAGAGGTTAGGTTTTAACAAAGTTGGTAAGCAGCTTTATGAAAAGCTAGCAACCATTGCTTCTCCTTCCTTATTCCTGAAAATCACTGAGAGAATCAGTAACTGGATACCTTGCACTGGAAGTCTGAACCTTCGTATTTCATACAACCTGAAGAAAGGGTTTTTTCTCCATTTTCATCTTCTTCAATGATGGCAAAACAATGTCCGTTAGTTCTGAAACAGATAAATTAATTTCAGTTTTCCAAATACTGCATTCAGCCAATCTGTTCAATAAACAGAAAGTTATTTTTTTCCTTCTAGCATTATGGGCACATGCTACCCTAGTGGGAAATGAAACTACCCCAGAATAGACAGAGTGGAGCTAAACAGAGTGGGAACTGGAAATAAATTCACTGCTCCATTTTCCCCCATGTCCTAGGGCCACAAAAGTAAATGGATTAACAGTCCATTAATTACACGTCATAAAATTACATGTCCATTAATTACATGTCATAAAATTGGCCCAATAGTTTTTCTTTTTTTTAAAAAAGAGCAGTTAATAGTTACAGAATATTAAAGCATACACACTGTTTTGTTACCACTGAGTTGGCCTAACAAAAGGCATTGTTCTAACATGAAATTTGGAATTCTATTTAATATATAAGCAACCACTCTGTATGCCTCCAGAATTATTCTGCTGTTTCCCATTTTAAAAGTGCCTTCACCAGATTATTCAGATACATTTAATAACAGCAGAGTTGATATAAATGTGATCACTAGAGGGCAATAAAAAACAGCAGTTCTAATACAACCAAATCAGATCTTTTACTTTTATGAATTATGCTGTGTAAAAGGTTCAAATGCATTAAAATTTTATATCTTGAAAGCTCTGAAATATTTCAAAATAAGAAAGCAAATATTTAATCATAAACATATAAGGAATTAAGAACAAGGGAGGATAAAAGATTTTGAAGTCTCTAATCTCACCATGCCTTCATTATGTCTGCAATACTTACTTGCATGTGTTATTAACTGCATTTTCTGGACAGTGCCCTGAACAGTAGCACTGTAAAAAAGGCATTATGTCCTCTGGTGCTAAGGTCACTCCATCTTCCTGTTTCTGCTGTTTAGGATCTGTCTTTATTCCTGCTCCGTGAATCATGCTGAATTGGTTCCAGCCTGTGTGATACCAAAAGGATGTTAGTTTTTGCTGCAAGTCCATGTGCAGTAGAAGTATAAACACTCAGACAACCCTACAGCCACCAGACCTTTTCAACTGGCTTTCTCTTTCCAGCCAAAGGACTGCTCATTTCCAAATCTCTATCGTAATGAACACACACTCTAACCTCAAACAGATTTACCTATAAGAAAGCAACACTGAATTACAATGGAGCTGAATTCCAAGCATACTTCCAAGGACAGTCAGAACAACAGACTGAAGACAAATATCAATCCACAAAAATTACCTCGGTACAGCCTATGGAGATGATCTCACGCAAAAATAAAGATGAACACTTTCATTTTATCAGCTATGTAACAGGTAGGCTCTGTGTAGTACCCAGTGTTAATGACAGATATTCCTCTATGATCATGGATGTCTAAGTAATATCCACAGCAATATGACTTTGATATTCTTTGTTTCAAAGAACTAGCAACCAGAGGCATAATGCATAATGAGAAGCGCCTACATTTCGTTTTGTAGCTAACTTTATCCATGATTGAGAATGATGTCATACTTATATCCCAAGTTCTATTCTTCTATCAAGCTATCTGTATAAATATTAAATATACATTTTGAAACAAAAAAAAAAAAGTCTAGTTTCATAGCAATCTAGGACTGCAATCAAGTTCAATCTAAGGACATTTTCTCCATTTGTTAAAAAAACAAGGACATGTTGAGTTTCCAAGTTAAAATAAAATAAAGATAAATGTCTTAAATTGTTTTCAGAGCTTGGAATAAAGCATATTTTAAGAAAACTGGAGTTCTTACCTGTAAGTTATCAGAAATACAACCACTATTTCTACAAACTGATAAACCTACAACACTAAAACATACGCTCCTCTCCGTTATATTAGTAGGAAGGTTGTCCTTTTGAGTCAACAGCATGGATTCAATGACTTGTCATTCTAGAAGGGACTATAATGTTCCAAGCCATACCTATTCAAAATTTGCTTGGAATTCTACTCCTAAACGATTAGGAAAAAAGACATTTCCCATTCAGCTGACTTGGAGTTTTCTTCTTTTAGCTTCAGCAAGGCAGCAGAGTTCACAACTGAAATGCACTTTCATCTTCCTGTCTCAATGTTTGTTGATAAGAAAATCAGCTGCAATCATTTAGTTCTTTAGGTGGATTTGGAATCAATAGGACTGAGATCAGCGTGCTTAACCATGAATCAGTTTTCTACATACAGGATGAGCTTTTATGCACATATACCTGGGAGCAGGACCCAGTGAATACAATAGGGCTTTACTGGATAAAGATGAACAGGGCTGTGCTATTAGGGTTCTTGAAAAACATCACTATCTGCAGCAACATGGATAGTTTATGAACACTGTTCTTTATTTCCCAATAACTACAGCAATTGAAAACTAGGGAAATCACTATATCTCATTGACTGAAAGCAAGTACAATAAATACAAAACCACCTAAATGTCCTGACACAAACCATATATATCACAAACATACACACACACGGAAATTACCAAGAATGAAATTAGAAATTAATATTTACAAATAAATTTGGTAAACATCAGTTAAAAAAATACACAACTGTATTGGAAGCCAGATGAAGTTAGTGCTTATTTAAGTATTGCAGCTCTAATGAGTTAATCTTGACTCCACCACAAGACAGTTGTACAAGACTTAAACACTGGCAAACGAGCAACGTTCTAGGCTGTGGTCTTGAAACTTAGAGCACAACACACTCTGGATGGAGCTACACTTCTTAGAGCACTGCTTACTAGCTTTATTTGGCTGTTGAGCAGTGACTTTTCCCGGATAGAGCTATCTCACCTATAGTGATCCACACTTTTGCTATCTCCAGACTGTAAGGTAAAAACTCAGTCAATAAAGAATGTTTGGAAGCTTCAACTAGGCCAGAATTCAGCTGTCAGAATTCGAACTCTTCTAAACTGACTCATCTTTCATAAAGCCTGAAGGACCTATATCAACTGCCCATGTATTTATTTTTTATTTCCCCATTAAACGTGCTGATACTTATCTTTAAAGCCCTACATGCTTCTCTGGGGTATCCTCTAACCTGTGAAGCACTTTTCCCACACAGATTCATATGGCACACACTCTCCTGGTATTAGGATGGTAATGAAAATTTAACTGATCAGGAGAGCCTGTGACAAGCCACACATAACTGGGCAAGATCAAAGCAGCAAGAACTACACGGAGTTCAGTAACAGGTCTTTAATGTCAGTCTTGAGGTAAATACAGAATCTTGGAAACTGCAGTAGGAATTTCCAACCCCCATTCATAGTGACTTCATTAAGGTGAAGTCTCTTTCAATGGCATGAAGGGTTTCTCCCCAGGTTTCTGGCTACCTGGACTGAACTGTTATTTATAAAATCAATTTATCAGTAGCCTTCCTTTCTACCTCTTGAATGCTTAGGTCTAGACTCCCTTCCATTCCTTTCCCAGCCTCTCCACAATCTCTCAAAAGTTAGATCTTATCACTGGGAGATGCCTATGTTAATATAATTCTGGTAATTTAAGATAGCATTAGGTAAGTATTCTGTTGCGAAGAGAGATCTCTTTGGAGAAGACCCTGATGCTGGGAAAGATTGAAGGCAAAAGGAGAAGAGGACGG